CATCGACATCACTATCGCCTTTTACTTTCAAAATGGCGGCCGAAAAAATTGCCTGCGTTGCTATAGACTGTAGCGCTAAACGAATGTACAGATTTCAATGCAACTTCACTAAAGCCATTTTCTCGACACCCTTTAAATTTATTTATATAACATACTTCAACAAAAAGAAGCTGGAAAAAAAGTTACGAGGGATGGTAAAATTAAATTCCGAATAACTCAAAAGTATACACTTTTTTGTTGATATTGTATTGTATAGTTTTTTAAAAGTTACCGAATTTCCTGAAAAAAAAATCGTTAAAATCGGGCAATTGGGAGTTTTTTTTTATATGTTCAGCTGGAAAGGTTATATTCTTTGTTTTGGTTTTTGAATTTTGAATGTGTTACTTAGGTAATGAATGCTATCTTTTTTAGCATATTACTAATGATTAAAAAAAAAAGTTTAGTCCATTAATTGGGATCACCTTTTATTTATTTTTCTTTGTAACTAGGAAGGTAATGGTACTTTAGATGTATAATTGTCAATAATAATTACAGTTTTTTTTTTTCATTTTGTTCTGTTCTCTTTGATATAATATTTGCTCATTACCATTGTGGATAAAAAAATTATCATGACAGAAATATCTATCTTATAAACAGATAATTCTTCAAATATGGAGACCAATAAGTTATAAGAAGATAGCCAGCGTTACAAACCTCGTTTTATCAAATTAATAACATCCGACGAAAACTTCGTGAATAGCTCCATCTCATCGTAAAATACAACTCGTTTTTTACAAAAAATTTCAGAATTGGAGCATTTTTTATCTGGACATCGGCAAACTTTGTCTATTTAATTAGGTATTAAAGACTCCTGAACACCAATTTGCTTTTCACTTGAATCGTAAAATAATTTGATCACATAATCTTGATTTGATCAATTATCACAATAATCACAAATTTGATCTAGAAAAAATGTGTGGTCTATAAAAATATTGGGCTATTTTGCGTGACCTCCACCCCACATGTCAAAATATCGAGATAAAATATTACAACATTAATATATAACATTATAATCTTATAAATTATAACATTATAACCAGACGGCCCAATATGTTTGTAGGCAATATTTTTTTATCGATTTTGTGATCAGATCATTTTATGATTTAAGTGGGTAGAAAATTAGGATTTATGAGTTTTTAGTCTCTTGTTAAATTATTCAAATTAGTTAATTTAATAAGAAAACCCTCATTTCTGAGAATTTTCGTGGATGAATATTTTGTAGCTTACGACAAGATGAAGTTTTAGGCAGGTGTTAATGAAATAATTATTTTATAAAATTAAATTATATTAAAATTAAATTATAATTGTCTATAATAAAAATTATAGATTACTAAATATATGTCTTAAACCTTTACATGATGAACGTTGTGCTGAGGCCTTAATGTATTAAAATCTGATACAAATATATTTTGAAGAATGGTCCGTAGTGTAGAACCATTTTTATCAAATTATTAACATTCCCCTGAAACTTGGTGAATAGCTTCATCTTATCGTAAACTACAAATACTTCATTTATGAAAACTCTTGGAATTGGGACGTTTTCAATCTGGAAATCGGCAAACTTTTTCTTTTTAATTAGGTACTAAAAACTCGTAAATACCCATTTGCTTTCCACTTAGATCGCAAGATAATTTGATCACAAGAAAAAAATTGGTCTACAAAAATATTGGGCCGTTTGGCCTTTATAACCTCGGTATTTTGACATGGCCACGCCTAGCGGCCAAATGTTTTTTAGGGCCACCTTTTTTCTCGATTTTTGCTCTAATTATCTTACGATTTAAGTGGAAAGGAAATGGGTATTTACAAGTTTTTAGTACCTAATTAAATAGACAAAGTTTGTCAATCTCCATATTCGAAACGCCTCAATGCCGAGAATTTTCATAAATAAAATAGTTCTAGTTTACGATAAGATGTCTGTACCACAGACGGTTTGTGAGGAGTATTCACAAGGCTCAGCTGGTTACCTAAAATTATCAAAACCATATCAACATATGACTAAACGTAAATTAATTAATGTAAAAACAAAATTAAATTATCAAATTATTTAAAAACAAATATTCTCATAATAAAATATATAAACCATTATTTATTAACAAGTAAGTTTACTTCATATCTAAATCAACAATAAAAAAAAATCGCCAATATTTGTCATAATCTCTTTTCTCTCTCAACTGCGGGCAAAGATTTCTATTGAAATAATAAGCAGGCTGCGGTATATTTTTTTTCACAATCATGAACGCAAGTTATGTCGAAAACAATACCTATCCGACTGAAACGATTATGCGGTTTAAAGAAAAAGACAGAGCAAACCGTTGAGCAACAAATGCTCTGTCGCCGCTATCTAACTCATTATTCCGAGTGAGAAAAGTACTAGGAAATAGGAAGAGCATATTTACATTTAACTACTTACATCATATAGCGCTTGAAAATTTATATACTGGGTATCCCGTAAGTAGCGGGAAATATTTAAGAGGGTGGAAGTAGACATCAAGATCTTTAAAAATGTCGTACAAACAATCGTAAAAATAGTTTTTTTTTCATTTTTGAAACCATTTAAAGAGAACTATAGAGCGGCTAAATCTCAACTAAGTTCAGTTTAAAAAAATATAAATAAATTATTAATATTATAAATTTTTTTTATCACTGTCCAACTGTACTACAGTTATCCCACTTTAAGAAAAACTTTCCCGTTTAGCTTTAAGTTCATATTAAGTAAGTTGAGCACATATACTTCCTGATTCTTCAAGCTTTCCATTTCGATAGATTTTTCTCAGTTCGGCTCAGAAATTTTGTTCTATTGGTCCAGTCTTGGCGGGAGTGCCCCAAGGATCAATACTGGCTCCACTATTATATATTGTATACACTTACGACTAATCTACTAACAATGAGACAATGACTGCTACTTATGCTGACGCCACAGCAATTCTCACAAAACATCATGACCCTACACAACCCTCACTGACGTTACATCATTTAGATAAATTAAAAGACTGGTAAAAATTATGAAAAATTCGACTATACCACGAAAAATCGATACATGTTACATTTACGCTTCGAAGAAATACCTGCCCTCCAATTTATATCGAAAACAACCAAATTCCTCAGACGGACACCGTAAAATACCTTGGTCTTACCTTTGACAGAAGGCTGACATGGGACCCACATCTAAAAATGAAACGGATGACCTTCAATAGACGATTCAAACTATTTTAATCTCTTTTTTCCAAATCTTCAAAACTAGAACTGAGACAGAAAGTAAATTCACACCTATACTTACTTAAACCAATATGGACTTACTCCTCACAGATATACGGCATAGCTAAAAAGACCCACCTACAAAAATTTCAAACTTTCTAATCAAAAATATTACAGCTTATAACTAAAGCACCTTAGTACTTGACAAACAAAATCTTACAGACTTCCTCCTGCCTACATTTCACTAACACATAAGAACTCTTTACAAAAGATTTCACAATAATTTACACGGATATACTTACATACTAATCAGAGATATGGCTTCAGCTGACATTCCTATCAATATGAGAAGGAGACTAAAAAGGCGCTGGATGAGAGACATAATTCCTTAACAAACCATTGTAATTGATTCAAGCCAGGGAAGAGGTACTGCTGTGAGCTATCCTTCGCCATGGCTCACATGTCAGTTTCGTTACTTTGATAAGACCATCTGCTTAGGTAATATCGTCGACAGGTAATATTGAAAGTTAAAAAAAATGTTTTTTTTTCGAATATTTATAATTTAAAATGATAATAAAACAGTGCTTTTTACCATGATCTCTACAACAGATTGATCCGTATTGTTATCCTGGCATGTAAAGAAAATAACCTGATATAGGTAAAGATTGTCTAAATAATACCCAAGGATGTAAACAAAGTTCAACTTTTGTAACAATGTTTATGAAAGAACTAGGTATATACATAAAGTAACCAATTTTCTGATTTTACAAAGGGAATATTCATCAAAGTTCTTATTGATTCAAGTTTTTAAAAAAATCATAGATGACTCATTGCTATGCTTGACAATATATTTATTAAACATCTCATTTTTTTTTTTATTTAGATATCAATCGATAATGGCTATATCGATACTTTGTATTCAGTAATATATTAATATCGATATCCAAGACCCATATCGATTCAATAAGGGATATCGGAACTTGCCCCATATCGCAATAATCCTAGTTATACGTCGTATCAAATATGTGTGGTGTGTCCTCTCACAACTGCTACGAGGAAAAATGGAAAATAAAAATTGTTTGCTAATATAGGACCTGTTAATGCTTTTTATTATTAACAACGTCAACGATTAATTTATTTTCATATGACCTTCTGGGATGTTCCATTATAGATACGTATCGATAGTTTCCGAGTCATTAAAAAACAATAAATACAAGTAAATTTGTTATTAAAAATAAGAGCTTGTGAATAAGTTACCCATTTGTAGCGCTTCATTGATCAGATTAATTTAGGAAGCGAACACTGGCGAGAGTTATGTGACCCACTAGCGGATCTAGAATTGAATTTTGGGGGTGCGCTTCGTCCCGAAAACTTTATATATTTATACATACAACGATAATTACTATAGAAGAAAAAGAAATAACTAACTAATTATATGAAATGGCGTTTAAGTGATTCTTGAAGTCCTTTTAAATGCAATTACACAAAAATATTTTAAGAGATAATTTTTTTCATAAGACTTGGCAATATTTTACCATTTTGGGAGAGAGGGGGGTGCTTCAGCCTGAAAGCCTTTCCCTCCCTCCATAGATCCGCCTGTGGGGTGACCAATGAGTTTAGAATTAAAAGAGGAATATATAATTCGGGCTAAATCTACGACAAATATTCAGGGAATATTGTAAGAAAATATTGAGTTATTAATGGTTAATTTTATATGTGACTTATATGTGTTAATTTTACCCGTTCTTCAAGATCTTTATTTACGGATGAAAAAACGCAGTTGTCTCTGCTCATTTTCATATTCCAGAAAGAGGACCATTTGCTGGACGGCCGGACAGAGGCCACCAAGAGGTAAGCATATGACGCTGATTTAACATGATTGCTGGATGTCAGTTGGCAACATTTGTCTACCCCGCAAAGTTGCCGACACCCGTTTTGCACGAGGGCAAGGAAGGGAGAATAAATAAATAAATGTTGCATAAAAGACAGCATTAAGAACTGTAAGGAGAATTTTGGATTGTAGAAATTGGATACGAGAAGAATTCGATGATTTTGTAGAGTCCAAAAAAATACATTGTAAAAGTTGTCTACTGTATTTGATAGATAACCAATAAAAGTGTTTACGACAGAAATGAATTTTATTTACTTGTTTTTTAATTTATATTGTTTTTCATAGAAACAAAATAAATATTATATCATGTACATTTTAATAAAGAACTAGTTCAATTTTTGTCCAAATTTAAAAGCACAGAGGAGATGCATGATAAAAATTTCGTGAGATTTACCAAAAATATTCCAAAACTGTGGCCTCATGTATACGGTACCCCAGTATCAGAGATTGGAGCACGGACACTCCAAAAGAACGGAATGCGGGCGTTACGTGCGGGTCACATGGACATACACGATCTCCAGAACATTTCCAAGTGTCAAGAGCGCGAGATCAAGGTTGCGTGTTCTAGCACGTGAGACCGCTATCCTTGGGCTGTAGCTTACACGGCTAATTATTTACTGAATTTAATTTAAACCATTCAGGCTCAATCGGAATAAATTTTAAATAAATAACATCCCATTCAATGCTCACACGTCATCAAGTTATATCAAAGTGGAAATAACTTAAGATAACTACCTGAAATCTAACTTTTTAATTTGAAGAATAAAAATATCAATATCACTGCCGCATCAGGGAAGAGGGGGGAGACTAAAACCCACAAAATATAAAAATTATTTTTGGAGTGAAAACTTCTTTAGACACGCTTAGCATTTTTTTTCTTGGATAGTGAATGAAACTGAGCCGTCATGCTTGAATATTAGTCCAGTCAATGAATGAATATAGAAGGATATGGTGGGGGCACAATTTTAGATTTTGAGACATTGTTTGGACTAGTGAGGGGAAAAACATACTAAAAGTCTCCACTCCTAGGTGGTGAGCCAGATGTGGGAGGGGGGCGGGGACTTTTCTCGGGTTTTCACTTATAACAGGAAAACTAACCATCGCATGGACAAAGACATTCAATTCAAAATTAAAGCTGATGGCATTTGCCTTATGATTGATAATATATCTTTTTTCGCAAACCTCGCTTAGTTTACGAGATATCCGTCCTCAACTATCGCTAATGTGGAAAAACAATTTTTTTACTTCATGCTTTTTACTATCCGCTGATTTAGCCAGAGCCAAATACCTATCCTTTATCATGATAAACTCCAGTCCCATCCGAATCCACTGGTTTCCTGCCTTGCTTCTTCCTCGATTCCTGATAATCCCCGTAGGCGTCTGAAAAGAAGACGGCCTCGTGATCTTCTCACCTAAAATTAAATAGGGGGTGTCAAGTCTGTTCATGTCATGATTTCTAATATGTGCATTTTTACTATTTGTATTGTTTATACAGTTGTAAATTTCATTAAATAAAAATCTATTTTACTGTATTTGACTAGCTAACTCTTTAGTCTGTGGTACAGAACCCTTTATATCGAATTATTAACATTCGCAAGAAACTTCGTAAATAGTTCATCTCATCGTAAACTACAACTATTTTATTTACGAAAACTCTTGAAATTGGGGAGTTTTCAATCGGAAGATCGGCAAACCTTGTCTGTTTAATTAAGTACTAAAAATTCGTTAACACGTATTTTCTTTCTACTTGGATCGTAAGATAATTTGATCATAAAATAGGTAAAAAAGGCGGCATACAAAAATATTGGGCCGTTTATCCTATATAATCTCGTTATTTTGAAATTTTGGGGTGTAGGTCAAGCCAAACGTCTCAATATTTTTGTAGTCCACATTTTTTGTCGATTTTGAGTTCAAATTATGTTACGATCTAAGTAGAAAGGAAATGGGTATTTGTGAGTTTTTAGTACCTAATTAAATAAACAAAGTTTGTCCCACTCCAGATTGAAAACGCCCCAATTCAAAGAGTTTTCGTAAATAAAATAGTTGTTGGTTACGATGAGATGAAACTATTTACGAAGTATCAGGCGGATGTTAATAATTCGATAAAAAGGGGTCTGTACCACGGACTACTTGATCGCTTCGTTCTACGATTAAGTCGTGGGAAACAAAGTTTTTAATAAGTATATTTTATTTAAGAGTGTATATTATTTGGCTAGTTTATCTTCAACGGTTCAAAAATAAGATCAATTATGAATTAATAAGTCAATTCCTAGAATTAATAGGAAAGATTATTATTTTTTTATAATATTCGTTATTATATTGCTATAACTCTCTATGCATATGTATACATTTACATACATAAAATAACGTATATTATAAAAATTATTATTTATTTTTTTTTTAGTGTGAAGTCTGGAAATTATATAAGAGAATATTCCTTTTGTAAGGCCGCGCTCTAAAACATGTAAGTGTAACTAAGAATTCTTGTGCAGCCATATTTATATTGTTAAAATAAATATGTTTATCAAGTGAATTTGCGTTACCTATTTAAGTTATAATAATAAATAGGTAATATACATATATTTTAAATGTTATAAGTTTGTGAATATAGGAAAACAAATATTTATATTTCAAATTATTATTCTTCTCTGTTGTTTTTACATTGAACATGTGTTCTTAAGCACGCAGAGTTGTTTTGATTTTTCATTGTTCCATGTTGGTTTTGTGAGAGGTCAAGCTAAATGTTTAAACAATCACGATTTGTTATATTTTTATTTTAAATTATAATGCATGTACAACTAATAAATTTAAGCACATGTCAAGAAAAAATATAAAAAAATTATCTCTAAAAGCCTTTGTTTCTGATTACCGTTTTTTATATTATCCATACTTAGGATTTTAAGGACCACTTAAACATCATTTCATTAAGTTTATTTATGTTTCTTAAAGAATAATTACCGTTATTAAAAAAAAATAATAATAAAATTTAAAAAAAATAATTCTGGATCCACTGGTTCTGCTGTTTAGTATTTGGAACTAATTTCGGTTTAACTCAATGCTCTAAATTATCCTGAAATATAATAAAGTGCACAATAAACTATTGTAGCTTAAATTCAGGGAATGAACCATACTTCTTTTAAATTGTAAAATTTCAAACTTATGAAATTGTAGCGTAGGGCGAAAATTACCTAAGTGGTCGGAAAACCCGTATCATGCATAAATATTTTTCCTCAATTTTTTTTTTTGTAATACCGTATCTTTTTTATATCTTCATCGAATCCATTAAATATGCCTTATTTGTGACATTGAGAAGAAACATTTAAAAAAAAAAAAATGCAAATCTTCTTCAGAAGCTAAAATAAGCATATTTCCCAAAAAAATCAGGAAAAAAAGTTCTAAAGAAAAGGAAACTTCATTCATCCAAAACTTAAATGGTATCCAATTTATGTTAGATTATACTCATATTCACTACAATTAACCATCAATACACACTTAAAAAACAAAAAGTAAATTTCCTGGTATTCTGTATCAAATCGAACCAGGGTCTGTATGATGTTCTTCTTGATACCTGTTATTACCACATCAAATATTTCCCTTTACTTGCGGAACACCTTGGAGGAAATATGGAGAATGCATTCTGTCAATATTATTGAAGTAATAGTATCATGAGAAGCATTTAGTATTGTTGGGCTTAAAAATGGATGAATCTAAAAAAGTTATTTAGCACCAAAAATTAATCATCCAAGGACCAAAATGTAGGTGGAAGATAGTATGAAAGTCAGTCGTAGATTCACAGAAGAAGAAATAGAGGAAATTTTATCTGAAAGAAATAACCATTGAGAAAACAAGTCTTTTTTTAATACACTGGGTGTTTCAGTGTCAAGTGGCCAAACTGCAAAAATGAACTAAGGACCTCAAAAAAAGAAAAAAAATTCCTCTGAAGGTATATCTGCAAACACTTTGTTTAGAAGATATTCACACTTAAAGACTTTTGTTGTTATGAATTATTTATGTTGTATGAAATAATTAAAACCTATTTATTTGTTCTAACTTGCTCAATCATATACCAAATCCCAATCAATGGATAGGCCTTGCAGGACCACTGGCTTGGCCTGCACGATCTCAGGACCTGACATCACTGGATTTTTTTGTTTGGTATGACATTAAACAAAAAGTATATGCAAGTCCAGTCAATGATCTTAAATGCATACGAAGAAGGATATAAAGTGTGTGCGTACATACCTTCATAGAAATTTTTTTTCTTGTTTTGAGGTCCTTAATTCTTATTTTCAGTTTGGCCACTTAATCCTGAAACATCTGTATACCTATTAGTACCAAATGCTCGTGAATAAATAATTATTCAATTGGTTGGGGAAAATTTAAAAAAAGAAAAAAAAAAGAAGAAAAATAGATAGTAAGAAAACTATCATTGTAGATGATTTAATGAAAATAATTAATTACACATCATTTTACATAGAATTATAATGTTCTCTCATCATTTTCTTTTTTGAGAATTTAATTGATCCAGGAATAATTAATTCATATTCATGACTATTTATCTGAAATAATCATTCTATTCTATTCTAGAGTTCACTTCCTTTTAATGTTTATTTTTCTAATTCTTTTTGTAATCTTGTTTCAATTGTGTTTAAAATTTCTTTTAATTATTGACAAAAAGAAAAGAAAATCTAGTGAAGACTCTTAGATATAACAATTTGTGTAGGAAAAAAAAAGAAATTAAAACAATTTTTTTTTTCTTTTTTCTCACATATAGAAACTTTGTGTGAGAGCAGTTTATTTGCTAAGTTTTAAATACTCCATGCATATTCGCATATTTTATGTATGAATGTTCAGATTACATTATACCCTCAGATTAATTTGAACCCTTAATTAAAGTTAAATTTTTAAAATAATTACCTTATCTATATCTACGACAATTGATTTAAAATAGACCAATAATTTATTCATAAACATATAGAGGTGGTAACATATTTCCCAAATTCTATTCACTCTAGATCTCCTTCCCCCCAAAAAAATACATATGGATCTGCCCTGGTTAATCTTGTCTATGGGGATTGGCTTCTAAGGGATTCGATGGAAGGAGGTGTACAAGTGATGGTATCAAAAGTTGGCTTGGTAAACCAGATTGAGCATAGTGAATCAAATGTAAAAAATAAATAACAGTATTCAAAAATAACTTTAATAATAAAAAATTGTATACATGAATTCCTCTAAAAAATTTCAAATGTATTCATATAAAATAATTATACGTAACCAATAATTTATCAGGTGATTTTAAAGAATTTTTATTCTTCACCACATAAAACATTTGATACATTCACTGCTGAACAAGTTTCTTCAGAATACTTAGTTAAATCTATAGGCACTGATATAATTCTTGAAAGATCTAAACAACATTAAACCGTATTATAAAATCATTATAATGAACCAATAAAATTTTTATTAAAGATTTAAGAAATCAACAGTTATTTAAGTGATACCTGCTTCTTCGCTGGACACAGAGAAGTAGCCTATAAGTATAGGTGTCTTGTCACTAATAAGCCTACAATCAACTCTGACAATATGTGCGCAACCAATTTCAAAAATGAAATCACTAAAACAATACAATATAGTAATAATAAAAAACTAGGCTGCATAATGTCCTTGACAAAACAATTTAAGGAATTCAAAAGAAATAATTCTCTTTTTTGAATTAAACACTTTACTAACAAGTTGAATTAAAAAAATTATTTATTTACAAACTAAAAAATCTGCTAGAAACTGATTTCGCAGATTCTGTTAATTAACTTATTTTCTTTTTTCAACTACACTGCTCAAAAATGAATAGTGATATTTCTATTTGATTCGTTTTAATTAAATTACCTTATTATTATTTTTTGTTTGTTAGAGATTCTCTTATTTGTTAGTAAACAAAAAGTATTCCATATTCTTAACAAATTATTATCTAAACGATAGTCAATATCAACAATAACCATGGGTAAACCAATAGTTGTTTTCAAACTTCTCTCAATTTCAATTCAGTAAAATTCTGTTAACAATGGAAAGACATCATATCGAACTAGAAGTTCGCAATATGGTGAGAATGAGAGGTCAAGGGCCTCAACAAGTGGATATCACCGATTGAATTGGCGCCTCCCGGGCTTTAGCCAGCTTCAGAGAAACTGGAAGTACTAATCCATTTGAAATCATCCAATTTGAATTAATTTTGTTGCTCGACATTTTTGATTTTACGATCATTTTTTTTACCACTTATTTCATATTTATTTGAGTTAAAAACCATAGTTAAAAAGATTTTAAAGCTCACAGTTTTTCGACCATTTTGAGTTTGCTTTTTTACTGAAAACAAGTTAAGGGAAAATGTCTGTAAATCTGGTGGTTTTGTAGATTTTGAACCGAAATAAAAACTGGAATAGTCAGGAAATTTTTAAATATTTCATAAGCAGAGCCTAATCCTTGACTCATTGAGGGTGAATATTGGTAGGTGAATATTCCCAGCAATGGCTGAGGAAGTGCGAAATTCTGATAATAATAATAATAGTCTTTATTTATATACATATATACATTTATAAAAGCAGTATTTCCATTTCCATTTATATCTACTTTTTCTTTATATACATGTATATAGACTTTTCTTTAAGGAATATTAAAGTCTTTAATGGTGAGTATTCATACTTTGGTTCGCTGAGAGTTCACTTTATCTTCCAGTATTTTTTATCCTTTGCTTTTCGTGATCACAGCATTCCTTCTACCTTCTTTATCTCGTCTACCCATCTTCTTCTTTGTCTGCCTTGGTTCCTTTTCATATCCAAGGGGATCCACTCTGTTTCTTGGCCCAGTTTTTGTTATTCTTCTTTATTGGATGTCCAGCTCATTGCCATTTCATCTTCTTGACATGCCTGATTACATCTGTGACCCCGGAATCATACCTTATTGATAGACTACTGAGCGTTTCGCTTTTTCTTATGCCTTGCATGCTCCTCTCCATTGCTCTTTGGCATGTTTGAATTTTTTTCTCATGGCACTTGTTGAGGGACCATGTTTGGCATTCATAAGACAACTCAGGTAGTATACAACTATTGAAAGCTAATGTTATTAGAGGCTGGCTGATATTTTATTCTTAATTATCATTCAAAACTTTAATATTTCCGCCAAGGCATAGCTGTCCTTGTTTGAATCCCTGTTGATTGTCTAGCTTTAAAAGAAATCTATTGCCCTAAAAATGTGATTTCATCTACTATGCTTATTTCTGGAAGGTCTGTTTTTATTTTGGTGACAAGTGAGTTTGTAATTATTTTTATCTTCACGAGGTTCAAGGATAATCCGTATTGGGCACTTCTGTACATAAACTGTTTTAGCATAGTCACTATTTCTTCTTCATTTCGTGAAATCAATAGCACATCATCTGCGTATTTAAGTGTGCTCAGTTTTACACCATTGATATTGATTCTATATTGATCCCAATCCATCTCCATTAGAATAAGTTCCAATACTATATTGAAGATCTGTGGTGATAGTGTATCCCCTTGCCTGACTCCCCTCCTGATTGGAATCTCCTAATATTTCACTGATTAATCATTTAAACATAACAATGTTCAAATTGTAATTCATTAAAATAAACAATACATTAGTTTGTATGAGGTTTAATTTAAATTGAAGCACATTTCCAAGGTAGGGTTAAGATATGTTTTCATTCGTAGTTTAATTCAGTGTTTTCTCAAACCTCGAATTTAACAGGATTGTAAATTACACAGATTTTTTTTTTCTCTCCTAAAAGTCAGTAAAAAGAAGAAATTTTTCATTGAACAGCTAAATGCTAATCACACATTACACAAGGAAAAGAAATCTGAACACCAAATAGCCTGTTTGGGCGGCAATTGTAAATAACCTTGTTCGGGTGAAATTATAAATAGCCTATTTGGACAGCAATTGTAAATAACCTGTTTGGCGGCAATTGTAAATAGCCTTCCGTTCCGGGTCTAGATTATTTGCACTCGTGAATTTAATTTTCTTAAAACAAAACCTCGGCACTGGATATAAACTTTTTTTGAGGGTGTTTACTATTGTTGGGAATTTGGGAACCTAATGCTTTTGGTTTTATTATGCAAGAGGATAATGACCTAAAAATATTCTTTAAAACTTTGTAGAGTATTTAAAACAAAACCTGGTGGTTGATGTTGCAGAAGGCCTTGACTCACCATTGAGTTTTAGAGCCGGAAGAAGAAGATTTAAAACAAAAAGAAGATAATGATATTTAGAAAAATACTTGGTTTAACATATTATTTATAATATTATTTTTATAATATAGATTTTGAGTTTTCTTTAAAATATCCCTCTGTATAACAAACTGTTAACGATTACTGGATTATTAATTTATATGCATGTTAATGCTTCTCAATCCCCTTCTAAACGATAGTGTTTGTTTACCTCAGTAGTATTTCGCTGATTAGAAATAATTCAGTCTTTACTAAGATGGTAACGCATGATTTTCGTATAATTTTGTTTTACAAGTTTAAAGGTGGATGGAAAGGGACCCAGATGGCCAGAAACATCAATCAAGTCTGGGGTCATAGCAGCATTAATGAGTGTACTGTTCAACGGTGGTTCAAAAAATTTCAGGATGGTGACTTCAGTCTTGAAGACAAAGGACTTCCTCTCTTGATGACGATGTTCTGGGGACTTTGATGGGAGAAAACCCCAGAACAACTGTTTGAGAACTTGCAGCCCTTGACCTTAGCAAATCGACTGTCGATGACTACCTCAAGGCGATTGGAATGGTAAAAAAGTTCGAAAGTTGGGTTCCACACACATTAAACAACCACCAATAAAACCAGCATTGTGAAGTTTGTGCTACACATCTTTGCCGAAACAAAAACGAACCTTTTCTGGCCAGAATTGTTACTTGCGGACAAATTACGATAACAGTAAACATTCTGGACAGTGGCTCGACAAAGGAGAACCAGAAGAACATTTTCCAAAGCTCCCAACTCATCAAAAAAAAGGTGATGGTTACTGTTTGGTGGGCTTCATTTGGTTTGATACACTACAGTTTCTAAATTCCTGGAGAAACCATCAATGCCGAATCGTATTATAAACAAATTAATGCAATACATCAGCAGTTGACAAAAATGAAGGCATATTTGGTCAATCGGAAGGGTATAGTTTTGCATCCTTTTGTTGCATTCAAGATTCATTTGAAAAAAAAATAATTTAGTTTTGAGTAATTTACTCCAAAATATATCATATTTTCTCAAAACATTGTGGTGGAGGTGGACCTAAACTTATGAGTGTCAGTGTACGTCTTTTAACAACTAAGTAGAATGATCAATCTTCAGATCAGCCATTCTCTTAATTCTACTTTTATTTATTTTTTTCAAAATGTGCAATTATTACCCCTCTGATGTCCTCAGATAATTTAGAAGATTAATTTGTAAAAAAAGTCTTCTTTACCTTATTACCCACTTATCAGGACCATCTTCAGGCTTAATATTGCTTATCACAGGAAGACATAGTTTCCTACAAATATAACAAGAAAAATGGTTAATATAAAAAAAAAAAAATCCGAAAAAATTTATAAATAAATAAACAATTAAATACACACCTTATTACAGTTTCTTCCGAATGATCATCACAGTCTACATGATCTATTATGCTAAGAATGAGATCAAATAAGGTTGTTGGATCACTAACAGTTAATAAAGGTTTGCTTGCAATTTTTATATGAATTTTCCTGTGATATTGAAGATAAAAATCACAAAAAAAGAGTCTAGAAATAAAAAAAAAGAAAGTTATAATTTTGAGCACATATATAACAATGGATTCCTGATTATCTGAAATGGAAGGGACCAAATGGAAAAATTTCTTCGTATTAAACAGAATCATTCGTAAATTATATAATATTTGATTAACCAAATATTATTACATATGATTATATGATATAGTTTGAGGAAAATACTGGAATGACCTTTGTTTCATTCTAACTTTCATAAACAATCCTAATTGGATGACAGAAACAAATAGTGTTGTGCAGATTCCAATAACTGGATATAAGAAAGCAAATGTAAATTATATATATGAGGAGTGAGTTGCAAGACAAAGTTACAACTGAAAAAGACTTAAACTTACAACTTCTGCGGTTAGGTGTGGGGTGGCCGAGTGGGCTAACATGTGCACACAGCACGTCTGTTGCCCAGCAACCTGATCAATGATATAATTTGATGAAATAACTACAAGTACGTGTCCTGGTTGTAGAGGGATTTCAGCTCTGGCATTAATTCCCTCGTCCTGACCCTCTGGTCCAGGAAACCTCCGTGTATAGCCTAAAAGAAGAGGAAGGGCACGGAAAAAAAAAAAAATCTTCTGCAGTTAATTTACTGTGGCAACAAAGCAGAAACATTAAAACACATCAGTAAAGTTAATATCTTAGATGAATAATCTGAGTCACTGCAATATGAGAAAGGTGTATTTGAGTTATAAGTTCAAAAATCAAAGAAGTGAGAGCACCTAAGATGAGCAAATAATTTTGAAACCCCTAACTTCCCTCCAAATTTGAGCCAAATTGAATGAGCATTTTTAGAGATATAGACATATCAAGGAAAACAGGTTTGCGCATATATAAGAGAAAGTAGATGACAGAATTCTATAAAATTAATACTGCACTATTTGTTTACCAATATCTACATACAACTTTGAGCCAAATCGAACAAGCTGTTTCTGAAATATTGGCATATCTAAAAAAATTCGTTTGCGCATGCGTAGACGGAAGTGCTGGGTGGAATTTGACAAAATTGGTATGGGACCATCTAGGCACCAACCGGCATAATCCCTGAAAATTTCATGAAAATTGAATAAACGGTAGTAGCAGATATGCCCATTACATCGATTTGACTACAGACACCAAACCAAATTTGATCCTTGATGTGTGACGTAAAACGCGAGTGAAAATTTTCGATTTGAGCACATTAAATTTTTTTTTTAACCTCCTGCACGAATACAATGCTTTCCTTTCTTCAGTAGTGGAGAAGCATGTGAAGTTACCTTCTAACTTTAATCAATTAAAAATAAATGATAGAAACATAAAATGAAGTAATTAAAAACAAACTAATAATGTATATACATGTTTATAATTAAATATGTTTACAATCTTATGGGGACGGGATGGAAAGGAAGTGATTGAATAGGCAGGATTTAAAAGTAAAGAGAGTATTAAAACAACGGATGTCAGGAGGGATGGAGTTCCATAGGAATGAGGATCGAATAATAAAAGATTTATCGAATGCAGCACTTCGGTGGGCCATTATATACAAATCTGAAGACCGGGAACGGGTATTACAGGAGTGAACTGAGGATTTGAATTGTAAGAGCTCTGAGGTATATGAGGGAAGGCAGGATTGAATGATTTCGAAGAGGAAGGATGCCAGGAAATACTTATGATGGTAGGAAGGATACAGCCACTTTAACTCCTCATAAAAACAGGAAACAGAGATGTCCCTTGGGATCCCGAAGTTGAATTGTACAAAGCAATTCATCAAACGTTTTATTTTCACCTAGAGATCCCCAAAGATGCCTCAATATACCGTACAGCAACAGTCAAAGTGGGTAAATATTAAAGAGGTGACCAAGAGTCAACGGGTTTCAGAAGGAAGAAGGTGACAGAGGCAATTTAGATGTTTTAAAATCAAAAAGTATGGCAAGAGATATTCAAATGTGCTTTAGGAATTTATTTAGTTAAATTATTCTTTTTGTTGAGAGTGGAAAGAATGTACAATATTATCCTTTTGTTAAAGGTTAAATACTAAATCGATTTTGTATTTAATCTTTTTAGAACCAGACATGTTTTTTGAGATATTAGTATTAAAAATGTCACTATGAAATATAAATTGAAAATGTATCTGTTGGATTAACTGTGAGATATTGATACATTATATGTGTTATGGTTTTTTTTTAATAAGGAAATATTTATATATAATATAAATATTGAAATTCAAAAAATATATTGGAGTTAGAAATACTGTAGAGGAGAGAACCCAACCCCCCAGAATTAACTCTACATTACACCATTTTCTTAATTCCTTTATAAATAGACTTACTCATTTCTGTTCAACTTTCAGCTTTCTTTTTCTTTAATCTCATTAAAGAAATTCATTTTTGTTTTCTTTAATCTCATGTTTCATGTAGATCAGGTATTCTCCATTATTACTTAACATTAATTATTTTTGAATAATACTATCTCCTTAATTTATTCTATATTCTATTATCCTTAATATAAACTAGATTACAGTGTACTACTTCTTTATTTTAATTCTTTTTGTTTTCTTTAATCTCACGTTTTATGTTTATTTCAGGAATACTCCATTATTATTTAATATTTATTATCTCTGTTTTATATTATATCCAGATTATTTCCATCCTCTTTCAATTAAACTTTTACTTAATAACTCATAGAATTTATCTATAATATATCTCTAGTCCATTATATATATTCCTGTGCTTAGTTCACATATTTCAGTTAACCGTTGCAGATGGCGACATTTAGCAGCTCCCCTGCTTCCTGCTACACTACAATACCTCTGTCTGTCCACGCTTATTGGATTGAACAGGTTTGTTTATCTTTCTTATCTTAGTTTTCCTTTTTTTTCTCTCCTTCCCGTCACTCTATTTTCCATATCTCCATCTTTATTTTGTACATATTGATACATTTGCTCATTAATATTTTTTACATTGTTTTAACGTTTTATTCTATTATAGGTAGTCAATATTATTTGATAGATTTTACAATATCTTAATTTTCTCTTTATTTCTATTATTTCCTTATATAACTTCATTTTACTTTTCTCTGTTTTACATTTTATTCTAAGATTACCATTTTTCATTTCTTATATTACCTTACTTTGATTATGTTTATTTCATTAGTCCGTATTTTGTTGCCGTTATTGTTATTTATTTCTTAGTTCTCTGTTACTGTTATTATTCTACTTACTTTAATGTTCACTCTACTTCATTTTACTTTATGTTTTTTCTACCAACATTTTTTAGTCCATAAATTTCATCTTTTTTAATTTTAATTGTTTATTATTCAATGTTTATAGTTTCTCATACCTATTGTTATCTGGTTCTATTCTTAGCCCTGATGAAGGCCTGAACTTCAGACCGAAACGTCAGCAAATATAATTATATTTATTTTTACTATTTTTATTTTGATTGATCACCCCAACCATTCTTCTCTTCATTTTTTCCTTATTGTATATTCCATACATAGGTAAAGTGAAAGCAAAAACTGGAATTTCAACCAACCAAACAATTATTTAAAAAAAAAGGTCAATATTTATAAACAAGAGTAAAAATACTGATTAAATGATTAAACATTTTAACTGTAGATAAAAATTAGAAAATATGCACGATATTAGTTAATATAAATATGAGGTTTTGAAATTTAATGCAACCACAGACAATTTTTTCATTTTTTGATAAATTGTTAACAACTGGATCTATTTGTGATTTAATATTTTTAAGATGGATACATTAGTTATTCCAATGCTGACAAAAATGTTATTTTTTTTTTTTTTTTTATATTATAATTCAATAAAGCATTATTATTATAACTAATAATGTTATTAGATTAAAGAATAATTTCACAATTTGGGCCAAGAAATTCTCTGGTCCGCAGGCAGATAAATAAACTGCATCAAGTAGCACTCCTGTATGTGTCATATTGTGAATACAATTGGAAGAGAAGATAGATTAGAAGTTGGAAGAGAAGATGTATTTAAGTTCTACAGTGGCTTAATAATACAGTGCGGTCATATGGATTCGATTTCTGATTGGTTGGCCATCTTGAATCGTCCCTTGCTATCTGCTTGCTCTTTAGGCACCTCAAAACTGTTAAAATTTCATATTTTATTAGCAGTATTTTAGTTCAGAAGCTTAATTTTGTTGTTTAAGTGATAGGTTTAGTTTATTAATAGGTAGTTTTTATTGAATAGTTATACGTTTTATTTTTTTCAGTGATTGTTTTGGTTTCTTGTTCAGTGATAGGTTTCATCTTTACAGACTTATTTTATTAGTGATATTTTATTTAAAAGTTTAATTGTGTTGTTTTAGTGATAAATTTAGCTTACTAATAGGTAGTTTTTATTGAATAGTTGTACGTTTTAGTGTTTAAAATGATAGTTAACCTATTCATGTTCAGTGATTGGTTTCATCTTCACAGACTCATATATTATTAGTGATATTTTGTTTGAAAGTTTAATTGTGTTGTTTTAGTAATAGATTTAGTTTATTAATAGGTATTTTTTATTTAATAGCTATATGTATTAGTGTTTAAAGTTAAAGTGACAAGTTTGGTTTCTTCTTTGTAGACTTAAAATTGTGAGTATACTTTAATTTTTTACTTTATTTTATTAATTTTCCTTTTTAATTCAGTGGTAATGAAAGAAAAAGATGGAAATCAAGTTTGAAACTTGGTTATATGAAGACAGTGTCTATAGTTCGAGGCTATTAGCTAACACAATTTTTATCTTGAAGTTATTAGTTTCCAGTAAAAATTGAAATTTTGTTTTCCTTTATAGTTATTGTTACTTTCATCATTAAAATATGAGTATCATTTAAGGTCAAGATTATCATTTAAGGATCATCAACTATACTCAATTAAACTATGATTTAAGGATCATCAACTACACTCATATTTTTAATATTGAAAGTAACAATAACTATAAATGAAAACCAAATTTCAATTTTATACTTGAAACCACTGACTTCAAAATACAAATTGTATCAGCTAATAGCCCCAAACTATAAAAATATCTTCTATAATCAAGTTTCAAACTTAATTTCAATCTTTTTCTCTCATAACCACTGAATTACAAAGGAAAATTAATAAAATAAAGTAACAAATTAAAGGATTAAGTCAATTTCGAAACCTATATGAGTCAAATCAACTCAGTTAGAGGTGATTTAAGAGGATTTTTCATAGAGAAAAATGAGTTCTGTTGATGAAGAACACTTATTTAATTGTCACAATATTAAATATAGTATTCTTAAGAGGTTTATTGTATTTAGACTTAGGATAAATTCAATAAGTAAAAAGAATTTCCCTCATATGTCTGTTTTTAGCAGTAAATATGTAAACGTATGTGTGCAGCATTTATAAATTTAAATTTCTTTGTAAATAAATATTCTGTTTCATCTTTTTTTTTTTATATTCCTTTGGTGATTAAAAATGTTTTCTTTTTCAAGTTAAATTGGATAGTTCTTCAATAAATTGATAATTTATTATATTTTATCCTTACAGTTTTATGTTTCACTATTAGTTATTTTTACTTGGTATATCCTGTGTGATAAAATTGAAAATATATTATAGCCAACAATCTCTAATTTCCCAAAAAAGTAATGAAAAATAAATAAAATAAGAGATGCAATATAAAATGTCTACATTATGGTAAGAGGTAAACCATTTCATAAAAAATATTTTATATCAATGATCAGAAATGAATCTATACATCGACGATCAAATTTTGAACTATTTAAAATTTTAATTATAGTGGATTTATAATAGTTAGTGTTGTCCAAAATCAGTCTTGGTGATATACTTTGCAAAATCAAGACTAAGGCCTGCCTAACTTGTAAGACCAAGACCAAGATTGATAAAAAAATCCTTTTTATGAATAAAAATTAAGTTAAAATAGTCAACCATGAAATAATTGTAATAGTAAAACTTGAAAAATTTAGTTACCATATGTAAAGAATTGGTGTAACCAATATACTTTGGAATTTAAGTCTCAATTTTTCATTTGGGCTTAGATTTCCCATGTCTGACAAATTACAGTAATATATCTATAATAAGAAGCTGATAGGTAACTGGAAGACTGTTGCGAGACTTGCACAAGACCAAGACACCTCATGGTCTCGCATTTGGGCAACACTAGTTGTGGTATTCAGTCATAAGCAATATAAATAAATTATATTTATTAAATTTACATTAAATAATTTATTTTTATTAAATTTACATTAAATAATTTATATTTATTAAATTTGCATTAAATAATTTATATTTACTAAATTTGCATGAAATAATTTGTATTTATTAAATTTAGATTAAATAATTTACATTTATTTAAAGTTTTTTTTTTCTAAAGGTGAATATTAAGAAGAAAAATAAAAATAGTTTCATGATTGCTGACTTAGAATTGAGTTTCTGGTTTTCCAATGAAAGTTAATTTTCACTCAGTTTTTGTTTAATGTTTTAATAATTAAATAAATTCGTTTGTGAAATTTGCCAATGAGAGAGTAAGATGAATAGAATGGAAATCTTAATATGCCTAAGTTTATTGGAATATATTTTAAAAGAAATTAAACAGAAAAAAAAACAAATATTGTTCTTTGATTTTATTATTTATTTTCGCGTGATATAAGTGATTCATATGCTTCATACAGATTGTTCAACTTCAATTCTATCTCCCAAACCATTCTAGTAAATAATTTGTTGCAATAATTACTTTTTAAATTGAAATAACAAAGACAAACTATTCAAATATTAGTTTCCCGCCGATCCAATATGGGCGTCCCCTCCGTATGACCGCACTGTATTATTAAGCCACTGTATTAAGTTCAATCAGCTAGCACAATCTATGTGTTAGTCCAGGTAACATACCTTTATTTTTCTCTTTGTCTAATAGTCTTATAGTAGTGAATCAAGACTTCCTGGTGGGTTGTTTAAATACTACTATTAAGTGGGACAAATTTTTGTCAACATTTTATAGAGATTTATAAAAAATTTCAAGTTATTATAAGCAGACATATTCGAACCTGTCAGAGTGTTTTCCAATATCTTCTTTTTTCTGCGGTTTGACTAGCAAGCATCCACCTCCATTATACGCATCATTTTGATAATACATAAAACAACTAGACTCTTCAACTTCATGAATCCCACTCAAAAGAGCTGGCAAGTGATTCATATCTGATAGGTTATACCAAGAGTGGTCTTTTACAACCTTTTTTTATTGAAAAAAAACAAAACAATATGAGAATGATAAATTAAGTAAACTAAACAATATTTGATCAGAAAGAGTCAATAAAAGAAAAAAAAAAAAACAAGTTTCTTTAGTTATTTTAGTTCTCAACTTCCTCTAATTTTATTTTAAAAAGAAACATACTTATGTTCAGAAAGATTTTTTATTTCAAGCAGCAAAAGGATAATTTCACACGTAAGTTTTAATTGTTACTTAACAGAGAAGTGAAAAATTATAAGAATAGTATTCAGCCCTTTATATCTTTTCTCACCAACAACCTTTTAAAATATTTTCATCTAAAAACAAGTAGTTTAGGTTTAATTTGAAAATATAAAAAGAAGTTCGAATTATTATTATGCTTAAGACAGATTCCATGATAGTACAGTCGAATCTATAAGAAATCTTTATAAACATTGAACTTTATTAAGAATCTTTAATTGTTATTTTTTTTTTATTTCTTAAAGACATTTACAACTGTATTAAATAAATACATCTATTAAATTGTTATTAGAAAAGAAATATGTACATTTCTTAACAAGATATTTTTCAAGAAGGAGCAATTAATCAACCATAGGATTGATTATGGTGAGTGTGAAGTGAGGAAATTTTAGGAGTAATGAAATTATCAGAATCTTGCTTAAAATAAAATGAAATTTTAAACTAAGTTTAACTAGATCTTTCTTGTAGTAAATATGGCTACTTAACAAAAATCATTAGGTGTAAAAAAAAAACTTTGCCTTAATAAAACGTAAAAAGTAGGATGCAAAATAAAAATGTTAAGTAAAATATTGTATCAATAATTTACACAAACCGTAATTTGGTAAACTTTAAACCCTCAAAGTTTACAAAAGTATTGAAATTAGCAAACTGTTCTAAACAATTGCTTTTTATAATTTTGAAATAATTGTACTAATTTTTTACTTCCACTTAACTATTATGAAATATATTGTAAGAGAAAGTATTGCAATCATGAAAAAATTCAAATCAGAATAAATGTTTGAGGTTCCTTGAGTCCAAATAACCAAGTTTCGCAAAATGGTGTGTGTGTGTGTATGTGAACATTCTAGCTAAAAACAAAAATCGTATGAAAATGAAATTATGTATTTAAGGTTCGTATATGCCTGGGATTTGACAGTAACTTTTTCGTTAAAATCGGCTAACCGGAAGGGGCACTTTTACATATTATTACAATTTTCTCAAAAATGGCTCTAATACTTTTAAGTTGTTTTTAGTTTAAAGTAGGTCTTATCCTCATTGATGTTCTATAACAGGGCATAATACCGAATTTTCAAATTTCTCCCTCTTAGATACCTTTAATTTTGTATTTTTCAAGTAATTAACCATTTTACATTGTAAAAACTAATACAAAAAATAAATACAAACTATGAACAAATGTGATGATTAACTAAAGGATAAATAAGTGTTAGTAGTCCTGAATAAAAACTCTTAAAGTGGAGAATGCCCAACTTATCCTGTTCCTCATCTACTTTAACGACTCACGTCAGTACACGGCTTTTCAATTGTTAGTTTAATTGTTAAAATTAGTTTCTTTTACACATAATTTTCACATTCTACTAATATGTATACTGATATTAACTCTTTCTTTTAATGGTTTTGGTAAAGTTCAGAATTTTTACTAAAGATCCACTTTTACTTCTTATTAATTTGAACATTTTTTTCAATTTATCTAGTAGCACGCAATTATTTTTTAACATTTCTCTATTTTCTTTTATGTTTAGAACCCGGCCACAATGTTTAGTATGGTAATAAATTATTGCAAAAGAGTATTATGTTATATGGTCTGTATTTTTTACTTCCTTAGATATAAAACACCTTTTTTTATTCAAGACAGGATGGTAAGTGATAACGGCACCATACCAGATTCTTTTTTTAGTATGAAAAGGATGAAAAATTGCAATAATTTCATATTTATTGAAGTTTAATACATTGATGGTACTTCTGAACAGAATCTTATTTTTTCAAATAGAATACATTGAAATTTTTTTAATAGTTACAAACCGTATTTTATTTTAATAAAAAACATTTAAAATGCAAGATTAACAATGCCTTTAACTTTTGATCAAATATCAGATCATGTGGGACAGCAGCAAATAAGCTGAATTTTTAACTGTAATTATGAGTGATAAAGTAAGAAAATAGCCTTCACATCTTACATGTTAAATAACTTTTAGTACTTGTTGAATAATTTTATATTTAAATAATATTAATAGATGAAATTTAAATTTACTAACATTAAATTAAGTAAATATTAGGTTAAATTTCAATCTAGGAGATGATAATTGCAGGTAGGTTAAAAAATAAAACAATAAAAAAAATAAATATGATCATAAAGCTAGAAGAGAGACATACGTCTGTCATGGTGATTACATCTGTCATAAATGGAAAAATCTAAACAACAAAGCAATGAGTCTCTAACAAACAAGCGGATAATTATGAATTGATGGTTGACCGTAGTGAATAATTGAAGAGAAGAATGGTTGGAGATCAGTCAAAAAAAAAAAAAAAAAAAAAAAAAATAGTGAAATTAAAGATGATAAAATAGATGATGCCTGAATTGGAGAAACATTGGAAAGTTAACTTTCACTTGTTTGCCGGAGACTCATGGTTTTGTTGTTTGGATTTTTCCATTTATAACATAATCACTTTATATCTGTCTTCTAGCTTTATGCTTATTTTAATAATGTTACTTGTGAAATGGCCATGTATCCACAGAGTTTTGTTGGATGTTATATGTTTCCTCGAGCTTTGTCATTTGATTTTTTATATTTAAATTTAATTTTATTGTTTTATTTAATTTAACAGATTTTGTATTCTATTTTAGTTATATTATTAAATACAGTATTATTAGTCTGATCAGCTGCTCAATATAACCTTCCCTAGCTATTGTTAATAGAACTTTGTCTTTCCTTCAGTATGTAATAGGGCATATAAAAAATTAAAAAAAATGACCGTTTTATCAAATTCAAGATTTCAAAGGACTGTAAATATTTTAATCCTATTTAATACTTACCAATACTTAATAATCCCTTTAGAGCATTCTCTAAGCTTGTTTAATCCCATTCGACTTCTTCAAAAAAAGCCTCAGTTTAGTTATTTGTTTCAAAGAAGAAACATGACAGTGTCCTACGAAATTCTCGTAATTTTAAGGCATTACTGGAAAAAAAATTCACAGCCGCTGAAGCAACTCGTGAAATTATTAAATATGAAGGGAAGTGTCCTTGACCAGCGCACTGCGCGCGTTGGTTTGAAAAATTTAGCAGTGGAGATACGACGTTGGAAAGGAAGAAGGGCTTCGGGCGACCATTAATGGATATTGATGAGGTTCTGCAGGAAGCTGTTGAGTCAAATCCGTCCACAAGTACTCGCGAACTTGCCAGGGAATGTTGTGTGTCAAAAGATACTGTTAGTCGCCATCTACTTTCCATGGGAAAGGTGAAAAAGAGCAGTAGACTGGTGCCTCATGAACTTACTCCTCAGCAATCAGTTAAGAGGTTAGAAAATTGTGAACATTTATTGAAAAACCTTTCTGAAAAAACCTTTATTGAAAAAACCTTTCTGATATGAGATTTTAACGGAAGAAAGTCAACTGTGATGAAAAGTGGGTTTACTCGCAAAATCCGAATATCTGTGAGCAATGGCTAGATCGCGATAATACTGCTATTCCGGTTGCAAGGAGGCATTTGGATTTGAAAAAAATCCATGCTTTGCGTTTTTTGGAATTTTGAAGGTGTTATCTGTGAATTCTGAATTCTACTGCGAACAACTGGAAACATTGTACGTGAAGTTGTCAGAATGTTATCCTGCTTTGATCAACCAAAAAGGAATTTTATTCCACGATAATGCTCGTCCTCATCCTTCCCGTCAAACCAAAGAAAATTTTAAAGAACTTTATGGATTCAAACTTCTGCCTCATCCACCATATAGTCCAAATCTTGCACCATCAGATAGCTTCTTCAATCAAGCATTTTCTTCAAGAGAAAAAATTTGATAATTTTGCAGAAGTTGAAATTACAGTCCAAGAGTTATTTGACAGCCATCCCAAAGAATGGTATCAGCGTGGGATTGAGCAATTGGCTAGCAGATGGCTAATGACGGCAGAAAACAATGGACTATACTGTGAGTATTAATTGCATTTCATATCAAAGAAATAATGATAGAAATAATTGGTTGAAAAACGGTAATTTTTTTGTTATACATCCTATTATTTGGATGGCTTCATGAAATGTCTACTGCTATTTTTTTTCTTCTTTCCTTTCTCAGTTTCTTTCTCATATATGCGCTGAAGATGCCTGCATCGAACAAAACATTGGCAAATTAACTATTCGCTTGTTTGTTGGAGACTCACGGCTTTGTTGTTTGGATTTTTCCATTTATAACATAAATATGGTCCTTCATCCTACATTTCATGGTATGAACTGATCTTGCTCTGCTCTTTTTGCCATGGAAAAGGGCAAGAAAATACCTTTCAATCATTCTACCTGTATAAATGTAGGCTATGTTCTGTGCCCTTCTGAAATTGATCCCATGAAGGCCTTCTATGGAATAAGACATATTCTGAAATCTTTCTTTTACTCATTTGAGAAAAATTGTTTGTATACATTCTCATATTTCTCCAGCCAGATGTCCCATAGGTCAGCTGGAGATTGCTGTCTAGCTATGCAATGCATTATTTTACCTGGTCAGTACCTTTCCCAAATTTTTGTTGTTTAGACTAGACCGACTGTTAGATCAGTCCCCTCATGTGGGCACATGGGTGACGTATGTAGGGAAGGTCCATTAGAAATTCCTTGGGAAGTTCCTCCTGGCTAAGTCCAATGGACTCACTGGCCAACAGACTTGCTGGAGAGTGTGATGTAGGATTGAATGTCTTACTCACATATCTTTAGTTCACCATACACCACAAAGTCATGGATCTCCCTTAAGTAAAACGCTCATTATCCAGAAATAAACTAGTCACCCATTCGGATGGGGACTGCTTTAGGGGATTCATAGCGCAAGTTGAAAAATAGGGAATTAGGTATTGGTACATGGAACATAGGGATTTTGAATTCAGCAAGTGTGTTTAAATCGGTCACAAACGAGGTTAATAAATACAATTTGGATATTGTGAGGAAATATTCCCCCCAGGGGAGGGCTCAACAAGGGAAGGAAAGTACACTATTTAGTACGGAGGAAGTGAGAGTCATTGTTTAGCTACTGTTATCTAATTAGGAATAAATTGCTATCCACTTTGAGGGACATACGATTCTTTAGTGATGGAATTTCATTAGCCATATTTCAGGGGCCTTGGTTTAAAATCGTATTAATAAACATTCATTGTCCGGCCGAAGACAGTGATGATGAAGTCAAATGCGAATTTTATGATAAACTCGAATAGATTTATGATAAACTACCAAAAAAACTCCATAAAAATAGTTGTAGGTAATGCGAACGCAAAGAAACTTTGATAAAAAATTAATGAAAGCCAGTAAAAGCCTAGGGCTTGAAATAAACACGGATAAGACAAAATATATGGTAAGCTGCAAAAATGGTGATAATTCCATCTTGTTAAATATCGGCTAAAGTGATGAACAATGAAGAACTCTAATGAAAGACAGGAAACTATTACAAATAAACAAAAAGAAACAATTCTATAAGGAAGGAAAAAAGGTTGACGAGAGGCGCCCACTATCTCACCTCACAACAGGGTTGGTTAAGCCCCATCCCTCTCCACACCAGCCACCCCACCCTTTTTGCTCCGCCATGTTAAAGGGTTACACAGTAAATTTTTTAATTGTTTCATTTTTTACCAGACCTGCAGCCATCATTTCCTAGATGAAAAGCTTAATGTAATACATGGCCAACAATAATGCATGATAAAATTTGAATATATTTTAAGAATGATTAACTCACCTTTCCTTCTTTATATTTTTTTAGACCAAATCCGCGGCAGAAGGAACTCTTGAAAGGCAATTGAGCAGGCCCATAACAATACACATATTTATTCAAAAGTTCCCAGAACATGAAATCTCTATTATCTGCTATTTCATCCTCCCCACATTTTTCATAAGCCCATCCTGGTGCAAAAATGGCAGCAGATAAACCATGTTTACGAATCACCTCCATGGCCTGAAATGATGAAAAATAGAAATGAGATTTTTTTATAAACAAAAAAAATCCTGACCAACATACAAAATAAAATTTTGTTTAAATGAGATATCAACAAATAATTTAGACAGATTGTAAAAATATGTATACAGAAATGTTTAAAAGAGGTCAAGGTGACGAAAAGTAAAAATATATATGTGATATAACTAAATTAAAGTCTTTTAATATGAACAGAGAAATTTTTACTTGTTAGGGTATTTAGGAATAAAAAATTGTTAATTATGGTTAACAGCTCAAAAATTACAAATAAGAGACGTTACTTTCAATTATCTATATCTGAAATATACTGTAAGGAAAAGTATTACAATAGTGAAAATTTTGAATCCAAATTTTCAAGAGAAAAACAGGTATTGAGCTTCTCTGAATCCAAAAAACCCAGTTTCATCAAATAGTCTGCGTGAATGTACAGACTAGCTCAAAAACGAAAAGGTAAGGTAAGTATATACCTGGGATGTAATAGCAAATTTTTCATTAAAATCGATTAACCAGAAAGGCACTTCACATTATTGAATTTATTCATTTTTAAGATTTTCTGGTGGAACTTTATATAATCGATGTTACAGATTTTTAATAAAACACAGCTCAAATGATTTTGATAAAACACGGTAAATCAGTGTATTATTAACTTGTTTTTTATATCAGCTAGGTGGTATTCACATTGATGTCACTTTACATAGCTTAAATATTCATATACGTCTTCCTCAAAAGTACGTTTAGTTTGGTTTATTTAAAAAAAATAAACTCTCTTATTGACAGTAACTATAAAAAATGGCTAAATATAAAGTATGAAAGAATTTCATAATTGGAAACTGGAGAAAAAGGGAAAATATTTATTTAGGTCGAAAATTAATCTCCGGAAATACTAGTCAGAATGTATACGTATAATATATCGTTGGAAAGCAGAGAATTTCAGAAAAAACAATATCTAATATAGAAAGTCGTAGAAGGAAATAAAGAGTGATGAAAAATTATAAATAATTGTTTGTGAAAACTAATATTATTTAACGCAAATCACATGTTTCTCAAGGAAATTAAATGAAATTTACTTACTAAATGTAAAATTAAATTTTTTTTTTAAGTTTAAAAAAAGTATTTAAAATCCACTGAATCAAGCCAATGACATTGTTTGAAAAACTATTTCATTGTACTTATGTGAAAGAAGAAGTGAAATATAATAATATTTCATAGATGTGTAAAACATACGCTTATAACCTTAATCTTTTACATGCCATTGTTCCAGAATTGGAGTATACAGTAAACAATTTTTTTGGCCAATTTAATCATTATTTTTTTGCAAAAACAATTTTCGCCTATCAAAACAAAGGTTGAAATAATTTTTTTAAAATTTGTCAATAAAGATTTTATCACTTTTAGTTCGGTAAATAAAAAGTTAATGTTTCTGATTTTTTAGTGTCGAGAGATGTAGTGTTATTTTTTTTGTTTTAATACTACAGCCATGAAATTTAATTTAAATATCGATTTAGTTGATTATAATAGATTATTGAAAATAATGCATTTTAGAAATTTTAAATAAAAAAATTCTAAGAATTAGTTTTACTAATTTTAATTGTAATGTTCCATGTATGGAACAATGGCAGGTTCACGCTATAGAAATGTTCGATCTATTCATTATTTCCTACCTTGTTTTCTTATTACAGAACTGAACAAGGCAATTCATAGAACTACTAAAAACTGCATACTTTTTTTTTTAGTTCCTTAGAACACATATTATTGGAAATATTATGCCAAACATCCTTTGGTGTTAGTTTTCTCAGTGATTACTGTGTTCTTGTCGTTACAAGCATTATTCACATTTTATAATAATTAGGTAATGCGGGCTTTACCGCGGAAAGAAGGTCTGCTGACAAGGCCAAAGACTTCCATCCCTCCTAGCAGGCATAAGGCAGGTAGACATAATATCATATCAGCTTCCCAAGGAATGTTTCTTCATTCTGGCACCAACACAAAATATGCAAAGAATGCCTGAAACGCATTCATATTGATTGTTTTCCTCAATCACGGATTGTAAATTGTATATTACCATAACATTTTTTTTTTAGTTTGTATTCTTAGAATGTTATAATGTTAACAATTATAATGTTTTACTATAATATAATAATAATTTGTTATCAATATTATTAAAAACAACACTATTCTTGTATTGGATATTCTAATAAAACTATTAAGAAAAAATTTCTTTGTTTTTCTTTGTATAATCTGAATCTGCCATTGTTCCATTTTTGGAACAAGTTAGAAAAGCACAAAGGAATTATTTTTTTTAGATTTTTTGAAGGAACTATCTAAACTGAACCATATTGAGACTAATATTACAGAAAAAAAAGTTGTTTTTCTACTGGAAGTAGGGGGCGGCATAAAAAGTTAAATACATTTACTGTGATTTAATAACTCAAGATCCGATATAATACTTAAATGATCAGGTATACATCGTCGATTTATTAAAAAAAAATTTTCATTTGTGAAATCGCAACATTATACACTTACATTTAGTGTAACGACTTTTGACCTATCGATGCTATATTTAAACGCAAGTAACTGTATTTTGGTATGTTTCCAAGGGTAAAAATAAGAATTAAATGCATGTAAAAAGTGATAGAGATTTAGTAACTACAATTTTTGCTATGTAGTGCAATCCTTACTTATTCATAATTAAATATATATTCTTCCAAATCTCTCTTAATTTATAGAGCTCAGAGACTGGATTCAAATAGACTGATGCTGTTACATCTAAAGCAGATCCTGCACGGTAATTCATGAATGAACGTCACAAGAAGTTCCAAGATTGCCCGCTATCGCTTTGATCATGAAGACCCTTACACGTTCAATCATTGCTGATCATTACTTATCGTTGCTGATTTAGGTTAGATCGTTCCTGACCAATTTAGCGCAGTTGTAAACAAAGAGACAGCACAGATATGCTTATTTGGACATTGTCATTTATAATATTGGGCATCAAGAGAAAAACGGAGATATAATAATTACTTCCTAGTGCCTGAAAATCGTTTAGACCAAAGTTAGTCCAAAATATAAGTCAACTACATACAAAAATCTATGAAAAGTATTGCAAATAAACACAACAGTTAAAGATTTTTTTTCTATAAGTAAATTGTGAAGTTTCCACTTTTTTCTCTCTCCAATTTATTGCCTACTTGACTATTTAAAGAAAAAATAGTTGAAAATGGTTAATAATAATATAGACTACGGATATAAACAACTATTTACTTTTATGAAATTATTTACTTAATAACGAGACCTAGGTAAACTAACCTATCTAGTAGTTAGGTTAGTCTCATAGAAAATCGTTTTGACAAAAGTTAGTAAAATATAAGTCTACTACTTACAAAAATTGAGGAAAGGTATTGCGAAAATAATAAATTTGTTGAGGAAAATGGGAAAAGAACTGATAAATATAAAAGTTTTTTTTTTCCTTTCAAGTAAATTGTGAAGTTTCCTCATTTTTTTTTTTTAATTTGTTGCCCACTTGACTATTTAAAAGAAATAGTTGAAGATGGTTTAAAATTATAAACAAGGGATATGAAAAATTATTTAACTATTTACATATAATGAAAATCAGAAATTTATAAAGGTTGTGAGGCCTAGGTAACCTAACCTATCCAGCAGTATGGTTGGTCTCCTCAGCCCATATGATTAGTGGGTCTCCCCTCCATTTCTCGTGAATGAACCTTTGATTTCCGGATGTTCGGAAATCCGCAGCACACCACCATCAGTACTTCATTCACTACCTTACACGACTTCGGAACGTCATTAGTGCAATTCCGATTGACCGTGTAGGGTACCCTTAAGGTTTTTATAGGCCACAATCAATATTATAAATAGGGTTTATGCTATTGTGGTGATCTTAATGAGTTTTTTTCAATTGTATTTTTCTAAAATTGGATCACAATCTAAAAATATGTTGTTTAAAGTTTAGCTCCATTAAAGATACGCTTCAAAAACTTCTTGTAATAACCCAATTTTGCCAGACAAGAATTGCTTTTCCAAGAAGAGCAGTAAGTAAAAATTGTGTGATGCGCGCAAGATATTTTAATATTCGTATATTTAATTTAAAATTTTGAAATTTATTTTAATTTTATGCGCAGTAAATAATTTTTTTAAATGAATACATTATACCATTTATAATTATTACTTTCATTTCTCTATATACGAAAATACTAAAATATGAAAATATTTCTATTCAAAGTATAGTTGGTGAAAATTGTGTGATGCACCATACCAGATTTTTTAAAATATAAACCTGAATAGGAAATATTAACCTCACATGTAGTAAATCCTCCTCCCCCGAAACATCCTCGGCCAAACACATCTACACCTACATACACATCTGTTTTTCTAGAACCAGATTCTTCGACTGTTGCAATTAAATCTTCTTCTGACCATCCATAATTCAGGAATATTCCATCACACATATCAAAAAATTTTCTGTAAAAAAAATTTCAGCAACCAGAAATCATTTTAATGTCAGACAAATAAATAATAAATAAACATTGAAAACGAGACATATAATTTTAAAAATTACCTATTTAAATTGTTTAATTTATTTTGCCATTTTAGTTCACCAGAGGGAAAATTTACTGCATCATACCAAATAAAAATTTTATCTGGAGACAAAGTTTTTACATTTTTTATAAGTAGATCCAAACCATAGAACAGTGCAGCCATAGCCTCCTTACTTATTGTATTTTCAATATTTATCAAATACCCATCGAAACCATAATGATCACAAATAAGAGTCAGTCGAAAAGCAAATTCACGAATCATAGTTCTACTAGCTGCCATTCTATCCCATAGTTTAGCTCCCTCACTTCCTTCTGTTATAATTGTGCCTGTTCAAAAGAAAATTAAGAACATAAAATTCAGATAAATGATAGAAGTTTTCTATACACAGTTATAAGAAAAAAACTATTAAAATATTATTATGTAGCATATAAACATTAATAAAACAGCAGTTATTAGATGTGAATATGAGAAGAAATTAATTCCTTATCAAACAGCTAGAAAATAGTAAAATAAAATGGGCAAAAAGAAAAAGTTATTATTGGACAGCATGATTTAGTAAATTTCCATACCTCTGAAAGTTAAAGAGCTTATTAAACTTTGATCACCTCAATGCTCATTTTACTTAATTTCTTTTTTTTTCCTTTTATATTACAACAATGTGTATTTCATAACAATAATATTCTAATTTTGTTAAATATTTCTTTAGATTCTTATAAAAAATTGTTGATTCTAGTATCTACATAAATAAAATAAAGGTTTTGTCTCTACATTTAATAGAAACCCGTTTCATGATATATTTCCATTTCATACATTACAGACACCAAATCCACTTTTTAAAAAATTTTTGTTTGTCTGTAAGTCCACATTGCTCAACGAAATTTTGTAAGGGGTAAGCTCAGCAATGGCTAATGGTAGACTTTTGAAATTTAGACATTATATTTAGGTTAGCTTGACTTAAAAAATAGGTTTTAAAAGAAAACAAAATATATTGAAAAGAACCAAAGTTATGAATTCTTGAGTAATTTTTCTAGAGATCTCAGTAAGGCAGTTTTACTTACTTCGATTCTCATCCCAACCTACTCTACCGTGAGCCACATTTAAAAGCTGTAGTATTCAACTGATGGAAAAATCCAAAATACCGAACATCTGTAACGCGTTGTCGCTTAAAACACTAGTCAAACACACTCATTTTTCAACTTTGTCTGAGCTTTCAAGGTTTCATTTGATTCAGCTTCCCGAGCCAAACGAATGCATAAATATTTAGGATTAACAAAACGGATTAGCCGGAAATCAGAAAAAAAATCTCCCAAAAAATTTCACCCCGCCCGCCACAATATTCAGAAAAAGTTTTAATTGACTCAATGTCCAATGTTATTTTTAGAGCGATAAACTCAGCAGAGTTTAAAGAAGTGGAGAGACTACAACTCTTTTTGATTTTTTCTATCGACTCCTCCACAATCTCCTTGCTTCATTATAAATGAAAAGTAAACACTTAAATAATTTTAATGGATCGGTGGTGGTTGGTTTAGTTGTGTGGCACCTAAACCAATAGCCAAATAACAAAGTTTTTATTATGACTATTGTGAATCATTTACTTCCATATGCCCCGCCATAAAAAAAAATTCAAAACAAACCCCCACACACAATTTAATGAAATTAAATTTAGATTCCCCCACCATAATACAAAATACATCTCAAAAAAGGTTCTCAAATTTTAAATATGAGATTAATATCATACCCCGTCAATGATGGGTACATTAGCTAATTATTATATAAAAATGTTTTACTAAAACAAAGATTCACTCCAATATATACATAACAAGGCATATGCTGTATCAGATAATAGTAGTTATAAAGAAAGGTTAGATCAATTAAATTCTAAGTGTGCGAGGATAAATGAAATAAATTTTTTTTTTTTTACTTTTACATACTATAGAATAGCTATTTTGAATCTGTGAACAACTTAGCACAAAATGAAAAGTTGAACAAACCTAAAATAACATATTCCAGGTAAGTATATTGCTGGGATTTTATTGCAACTTTTTCGCTAAAATCAATACCCAAAAAGCTGCACTTTATATCATCAATTTTACACATTATTATCATTTTCTCAAAAATGGCTCAAAAACATATTATAATTGAGTGATTTTTAACAACAGGTATATCATCTTAACCTCAATGCAACAGTTAGCGGAAGTTTCACCCTATCTTTAATTTTGTTTGCTTGAAATTATTGACAGTCCCACACTGTTAGTAATAAAAAGAAAATGGATGGTACGAAAAAACGATGACAGAATTTGATAATAAATTAGAGAAGAAATATGGACTAGTGAGTCTTCGGCCTGAGGAACAGACAAATAGCCATTGCCAAGTGGCCCTGATTAAGTTTTCACAATTGCTCTCATGTGGAACGTGTTGAAAAATGGTCACACAGGTATAATATCTTATATTTTAAGGTTTACTAATAAAAAATAAATGAAGTTAAAGACTAAATACACAAGAAATTATATAAGTATTTATCAAGAAAAGAATAGAATGATGGTTAACAACTGAACCATCTGAAACATACTTATTGAAATATTAATCATATAGAATTTTTATTTCTTATTTATACAAATATACATTTTATGAATAAGAATATTATAAAAAGTTGAAGGAAATAAATTTATTGCTAAAATAGACTTACCTGAAGATCATGTTTATATAAATGGTTTTTACATTGTTTTTTTTACAACTGTCTTTTGGGAAGACAAAAAGTTTCTGCTGAGTACCACGGGCTTGACGACCGTGTTACAATGTCGTATTCTGACTTTTAGAGACAAGTTCTTCTTTTAATAAAGCTCACTGGTGGCGAAGCTTAATTTCTCTATTTTGGCAATTCTTTTCTTAAACCCTTCTCTCTCTGACCCATTGCTGCATATGATTTCTCCAAGGTATTTAAATCTCAGAGTAACTTTAATCGTTCCGTATTAGGTTTCAATTGTTTTCTTCTTAAAATTCGCGTCCGTGGTCATCAATTCCGTCTTCTCAAAAGATATCTGTAAGCCTGATTTCCTAGCTATTTCCGAGAGGGTGTTTATTTGGGCAATCGCCTCTTCTTCAGTTTCTGTTAAAAGGGCAACATCGTCTGCGTATGCGAGGCATCCAATTTTGACGTTATTGTTCTTAGTACCTAGGGTTGCACCTGAATTGTTGATTTTCCATAGTTCCTTTATGATATTGTCAAGTACTACGTTAAACAGTGTTGGAGACAACCCGTCTCCCTGTCTGAATCCCGTTTTGATCTGAAATGGTTCACTGATATTTCCTTGGAATTTAACTTTAGATTCAGTCCCTGTCATCGTTAGTCCTATCAATTTTTTAAATTGATTTCTAAATAAAGTTTTATTATTTGGAGGAATATCTTTTGTACCCCGTTTTTACTTCACAAAAACTGTATTTCACTTTTCCTTTTTATGTTTGATGTTACAGACAATTTCACCTATTTTCAAGTCAAGAATGACATAAATGATTATCTGATCCACTAAAAATTGTTATTTTATCTTAAGATATAAATTTAAAAAAGATATTCCTCAAAATAAAAAAAACTTGAAAAAATGCATAAATGTCGCCGATGAGAGAATTTCAAGATTAACTAGACCCTTAAAGTTTCCAGTTCTATGAGATTTAATCAACATAAAAGATTTTTTTCTTTATCTAGTTAGGCCTCAGAACCTACATAGATTCCATTGTCATTATCCATTCAGATCCCAATATTTTTAATAAAACACATGGCCAGAAAATAATTAAAATATTTCATACCTAGAACTTTAACCCCATGGGTATGGCCAGCATTAATCCAACATAAAGGTGGTATTGTAATAAACTTATGGCTGAAATATACAAAGATATCAATACATGACCAAAGAAGGAATTTATACTCATCAGAGTTTTCACTGCCATTCACCCATCTGAAAAACCATTAAAATAAACTCTTGTATGTTTTGATGATCCAATATTGGTTTCATAAATAATAGTAAAAAGTATGATTTAGCACTAATACTTTACACACATTATTGACATTTAAAATATATTATACTTTCAACAGTAATTATAAGCCAAAATTATAGACTGTAAATTGTTTTTGTAGCATTCGCATATGATGCCTGGCAAGTAGTACATGTTAAACATTGAACAAAAGATTAAATGCATACCTGTCATCCAGATAACCACCTTTCATATCATGGCACACTAAAGTTTTTGGAACTGAATGAGCTTTCATGAAATTAGGTTTAGAATTAAAACTACATACTGGATAACTACTACAACAGTAATCAGTCCTTTTCTCAATTTTCTTGACTAGACCAGCCCAACTTACATTTGGTCTTTTCCAAATAACAAGATCTTCAATTTTTTCTATTGGTAGGCATTCAAATATATCTAGACGCTGCTTATCGTCAGTAGCCATTTTAACAATATCGGAACAGAACTAGGATTTAGAACAATCAATTAATTTATGAAAAATGGCTAACATATCAAATATTTTCCAAGCCAACCTGTTGGATCTGATAACGGTGAGGAAGGTTTCAATTTCAAAAGCTTGTTTGTTTTCACATCACAATACCATATAGGTATTATATCAGGGCAATTTATCAACATTTCTAGAATTAACAAAAATAGTCAAACCATCTTTAATGCTAATAAAATGTTCCTCTCCAATTTTTATAGAACGAAAGTGCGACTTTATTTCATAGCTTTTACTAATGTTTGCAATTTTCTGGAAAAACTACTCTAATGATTTTGATTGAACTCACATCAATGTAAAGTTGAATGATATTTCGTATTACCTTTATCTTATCCTTACTGATGTAAACTAACACGGCTTAATGTCGAAATTTTATGTTTTTCTCTAAATTACCATTAATTTGATTTATTTTGAATGAATTACTGTCTCTCATTGTCAACAGTAAAACAAAAATCTGGTGCGCGCAACACACAAGTTTCACTTACCTCTCTACTTTGAACAAAAATTATTTTCTGGCAATGCTAGCCAATTATAAAATTTTTGGAGTAAACTTTTAACGTAGCTAAGGTTACAAACATATTCATAAAATAGTTTTATATTTCATATCTTCTTTCACACAATTGTCATCGCCTTGATACTGTCCATAGTAAGAAAATTTTGTTTAATGTCCTTGAAAACATGCGATTAAAGTTAAATAATGTCAGTTTTCAGAAATTATTACGTATATTTTTACTTCCACTTACGTATATATGTAACATATAGTAAGGGCAAGTATTTTGATCGTGAACATTTTTTTCATCACTCTCAGTTACCTTCCACAACTTTATTTATTAGATATTGTTTTTTTCCAATTATCAGATTCTTTCAAACTTCATATTTAACCATTTTTTATAGTTACTGTCAATAAAAGAGAGTTTGTTTTTTTAAATGAACCATATTAAAGGAACTTTAAAGGAAGACGTATATGAACATTGGGCATTTAAGCCCCCTAAAGTGACATTAATGAGAATAAGAACTAAATGATATTAAATACCACTTAATTATACAATGATACACCAAGTTTAATCAAAATCGTTACAGCCGTTTTTGAGAGAATTGTAAAAATGTTTCACCGTTGATATAAAGTCGCACTTCAGTTTACCCGATTTTAAGCAAAAAGTTGCTGTCACATCTAAGATATATAACTACCTTAAATACGTAATATCAGTTTCATTTTTGAGCAAGACTGTTCACTTACACACACGATATGTGTGTTAAAAAAACTATTTATAATCCACCGAATCGAGGGAATGACGTTTTTTAAAAAAACGATTTTATTGTGGTTATGTGAGAGAAGTGGAATATAAAAACATTTTATTCAGTATTTAGATTTTAGATTCCGATGATAGATCCAAATCATATGGTATATGTCGGCAGTTTATTCCGAAAAATTCAACTTACTTACTAATGAGTAAGTGAAATCACGAAATTATGCACTTGCAAGGAGGGGATACAGTCTGTGGGTTACCGATTTCAATCAAATTGTTTCTGGTGATACTACATCGAAAAATATTAGACACATATCCTGGCGTTCTTTCCAATGGGCCCTAGGAGCTGAATTTTTTTTATTTTATATAATTTAAAACAACATTTTTATTATTTATTTTTTTCTTTGCTTTGCCCGGATTTTCAGGTCACTATATATAAATCTTTTTTTTTTTGTGCAGAATATGAAAAAAATATTAATTATTATATTAAATGAGTAATAATGTGTCATAAATTACCTAAAACTTAAAGGTGCTCCTAGTAAAGTAGGCTAAGTAAATTTTTGTTAAGACTCTTAAATACAAATCGTTACGTAATTAAAAAAAAATAAAATTTAGTACTTGATTCTCTTGGATGAGTTTTTCCATACTTTTTTCTCCCCACTCTATTTCTGACATACGGATTTTTCAGCAGCAGTGGTATTGCACACGGGATCAGCGCATGCCACTGTCGCTGATACAACTCTCTTCATTCCGTTGCATACTTAAATATATAGGTATATTTTAAAATAAGTTTATATATTTAGGAGCAACAAAAACAGAGATTAGATGGTGTAGCCCGGTACGCGACTGCGCACCTTTTTTTTAAATTTATTTATATATATTTTTTCTACCTTTTCCTTTACTCCTCTGGGGCCTTTGGCCTTTGGAGTACCAGTTCTTCTCCTTACTCTAATTTTTTTTTTCTGACCGTCAACTAAAGCATTTATAATTCTTCAGGCTTTTCGTCAAATTCAACTTTAGTACAACCACTGGAAAGCTGAATTACTTCTCTCCCAACGGATACCAATAACTTTTAGATTTCATTTTTTTTTCCCAAGCTAGAAATAAAGACAAAATTCAAACCCACATTTATTTCATATCTTAGTTTTATTAACGAAGATCGGGTTTACACCATTTCGTGTAGCGTCTGGAAACCTTAATCTCTATTAATTTTTGTGTGAATCGGTAAAGTTCTAAAGTTATTTCAAGTTTTGTGGTTGTTGACGACGTTTCCAAGGATCCAGACCAAGCAAACATTTCGTGCAGAAAATTCTAATTTTTGGATTGCTATAAAACATCGTATTTAAGGTTTTTTTGTGGTTCGAAAAACGAATACCAACTTTTTTTCTCCTTAAAAAATTATTTACTATAGATACCAGACCGATTTTTGATAAATATTTTATTTGGTAGATAGATAAAAGTATGGGCACAATTTGGATACTAACGCACAGTAGGCAAATTGACTGATTTAGGCGGACAAAAGTCTATGTCATAATTGTTATCAATTCAATGGTCGTTGTGTTTACTACGATAGTTGGAAATCCAAAAACAGTATTACAAGATTTGGATAGTAATTTATAAGCACTTTGTATTTTTAATTGAAAAAGTTTTACGTTTTCGAACAACATTTTCGACAATCCATTGGCTTCTATGTCCTTATTTATAGATGTATTTTACTTTACTAATATGCAAACAATTATAAACCTTGTACATACAAAATGAACAGAAATTTAATGATCCTAAGTTTCTATACTGATACTGATTTCAAAATTGTGGAAGTTGAAATTCTTTCTGCTCTCGTCAAATCCATTATTGTAGTTATTGCAGAAACGAAAACAAAGTATCAGTAACTACTGGTACTCACTGGTTACTCAATTGTCCAAGAAAATTCAAAGGATTCATACGGAGGCATTCTAGCCATTCAACATGGCGTATCATGGAAAAGACTGCCTTCACCTGTGGTTATAACATGCAAGAGAACCTATTCAGTTACTATCCAAGTTCAGTTGCGTCAACCTACATGGATAACAGTTCTTTGCAGATGACCAGGTGGTTCCTTGCAAGAATTCAAAAACTACTATTGGAATGCTCTAAACAAAGAAATCACTGGGTTATTGGAGACCTAAACGCCCAGCATACACTTTGGCACAATGTGAGGAGTAATAAAGCGGGACCACGGGCGGATCTACGGGGGGGGGGAGGGTTTATGGGAAAACAAATTTAAAAAATACCTCTTAAGTATTATTGTTCGTGTAATTACATTTAAAAGTACTTAAGGAATAACTTAAACACCATTTCATATAGGTAGTTAGTTTCTTTGTGTTTTTCCAAAGTAATTATCGTTATTTTTATGAAAAAAAAAAGGTTTCGGGCTGAAGCCCCCCCCCCCCAAAATTAAATCCTCGATCCGCTAGTGAGCGGGACAATATTCCACCTTCTCTTCGCGTACCACCACACCACATTCTGCAACTTACTTCGCATCGAAAAACTGAGTCGGTTATGAATTCCTTAACGAACCAAATACGTAATTTTATGAAGATTTGAAAACAAGTACTTGGCAGGAAAAAATAGGTGTTACACACGGCGATTATTTTAAGTTTTGGAAAATAGGAAAGAATGTTAATATGGAGTCTAATATTGTCAAACTCGATCAGAATGAAAGGTTATTAAACCCAAAGAACCAGCTGTAATGTTTGCACAATACTACAGTGAAGAAATCAAAAAGAAAACAGGGAACTTAATTTCGCCCCCAATTTTAAAGAAGGAAAACAATTACATGTTCGTTTCTTTTAAACAATTAAAAACGATTCTCCGCAGAACTAAAGGAAACCGTGCACGAGGTGTTGATGGAATTCAGAATGTATTACTCAAGCAGTTACCAAGGATAGGTATAATGTACATGGTGAATCTTTACAACTCTTATCTACGGCTTCGCTACTTCCCGGATTCATGGTAAGAATCATTATTATTTCCACTGCTAAAACCAGCGAGAAATGGAAATAACCTTACCGGTTATTTTCTTTATCTTCAATACAATTGTTTTTTTTTTTTTTTTTGCACTTACATATATTTATCCGCACCTGTCAATTATAACTATTGACAATCAGCAGATGTGCTGGCAGAGTCATGAGAAAAAAAATAATAATAAAAAAAAATAAAATAAATAAAATGGCTTGATAGGCATGAGGAAAAGCAATACCCAGCGGCATCCTTTCCATGGCTTTTACTTACTTACATACAATTACGTAAGTAGGTCCCTCATCCAGACCCTTTTCAGTCGTCTTCTGGAGTTCTCTGGCATAATAGTCGTGGCCATTTCATTAATTAGCTGGTTGGAGTGTCCATGTAATTTATTATGGAATCGTTTGTAGTAAGTTCGTATGTGTTCATTGATCGTTGACATGTGTAAGTCAGTGTGTAAAGTGTTATTATTCACGTACCAGGGTGCTTGGGTAATTATTCGTAGTATCTTAGACTGAAAAGTTTGAAGTCGTTTTATGTGTGTTGGTTTTGCAATTCCATATATTTGTAGTCCATAAGTCCAGAGAGGTTTTAATAGGTATGTATAAATATTTAATTTCTGTCTTGCTTTTAATTTAGAATGTCGTCTTAGTAATGAATGCAATAGTTTTAATCTGTGATTTAATGATGCACGTTTTTTCTTTACATGTGGACCCCATGTCATTCTTCTGTCAAACGTCAGGCCTAGGTATTGTACTCTATCTGTTTGTGGAATCGGTATGTTGTTTAAGTATACAGCAGGGCATGTTTCTAGTCTTAGAGTAAATGTAATGTGTTGTGACTTTTGATAATTTATTTGAGTTTTCCATAGTTTACACCAATCTTTAATTTTTTGTAAGTGATGTTG